GGGCAAATAGCCTCAGAATAATGTTCTGTCCCTTGTGCCCCAGTCTTAAGGGCTCCTGAAAAAGGGGGGCACTAGGACTCTTTTGAGAAGCAACTTAAATTCAGCCCTTGAGTGGGCTGACCTGATATTTTTTGGCATTTTTTTTTTAGTTTTGGAGATTTAAGAGGCAGCATGGAAGCCTTAAGCCTTGAAGAAGCTTTACAAAGCGTTTTTTTAATGCTTTCCTTGCTATGTTGTATAGCATTGGTTCCTCCAGTTTTTCTCTATTAGAATAACCCTTCATGGTGAATTAGCAATAGCAATAACATATGCTGCCCCATAGAATTCTAGGCCAGGGTCTCATAGTCAAAGCAAGTGGAGAACAGGATGAAGCTCTTGGGAGTAAAGGCAGTTCAATGCAAGGGAGCCACAAGAAATGAGTAATAACTTGGTTGGGCAAATTCTTATTCAGAACCAAAAAATTATAACTTACTTTGCAAAATCCATCTATTTAAGGAGGGACGATACTGATGAGGGTAGCTTTGCATGACATGCTTGCTTATGTTTAAGGAAAGCATAATATACTGAATTAACCTAATCATCTTGGTTCACAAAACAGATAGAACCAAAATGTAACCATGTAAATTAGGCTTGCTCAAGTTGCTGGGTAAAAACAAGGTCAGCTACTATGTGGTTCAGAGGATTGCGTGAAGCCAGCCTCTGTGGCATGGAGTGCCAATAAGAAGCTGAACAATCTGGATCTCAAAACAAATGATCTTCTGGAATTATGACCAAGGCAGCTTGCTTTATGACCATAACATTTCTTAATGACTGCCAATAAAAGTGTAAAATTGGGTTGGTCATGCAGGTGACTCCCTTCCTTCCTTCCTTCCTTCCTTCCTTCCTTCCTTCCTTCCTTCCTTCCTTCCTTCCTTCCTTCCTTCCTTCCTTCCTTCCTTCCTTGTGAGTGATATTGACTTCCAGATAGTGCGTGGATGGGAGAGGCTTATACTCCCACCAGATTACCCATTGACTTCCAGTATTTGGCAAAACCAGCCCATAGTAAGCAAGTGATTTGCTTAACGAACATGGTGTGTGCTGAATGACCAAGGCAGCTGCTTTACGACCGTGACATTTGCTTAATGACTGCCATTAAAAGTGTAAAATTGGGTCAGCCTTGTGGGTGACCCACTTTACGACCATCACCACTTACAACTATAATGAGCAGACTCCATTATGGTTGTAAGTTAAGGACTACACATACTGCTTAATTACCAGTTGTCCTTGCTAATGTGGTGAAGGCTGGTATCTATTTCAACTCAAAAGTAACACCAGTGAATTCAGTGGAGGCGATCGATCCCAAATATGTGGTGTTCTGTATCATGTTTCTCAACTTAGCAGGTTTAAGAATTCTGAGAATTGAAGTGCACACATTTTTAAACTTGCCCCGGTTGAGAAATGCAGAGCTATATAATTTCTGCTCTTCTCTAGCTCTTTGGTTCTGCTTGCAATTTAAACAAAAGATTAGAATGAATTCTGCCAATCAGTCCATCTGCTTTTCTCACAAAGAAAGCCCAGTAAGATGATGACAATTGAAAACCCTGAAATTAGTTTCTGCTTGAGTTCTAATTCAGAAAACTTTATTGTATTTATGTGTGTGGGTGTTTTAATTGATATTTTTTTGAATTGTGAAGTGGAGGGTTTTGGGTTTTTTTTTTTTTTTTTTGTCTCAAATAATCTTTTGCATGCAGAAATCTCTCTGCTTTACTTCTGGGTTACATTTTGTGTTGAGATTCATACCAATCTGTCACACGCCTCTGTGGTTTCTTTGCTTGGCTTTACATGGGGATTGCGCTGGTAAGTAGCAAACCCATTCATTTCTTGCCAGGCTCATTTTGAGAGAAAACAAACCCAGATAGCCTTGACCTATAACCCTTTGTTTAACAACTGGTTTGGGTGGCATTGAAAAAAGTGATTTACGGTTGGTCCTCACATTTAAAACCTGTAGGGCATCCCTGCTGTCACACAATCAGAATTTGGGGGGTGCTTGGCAATTTGCATATATTTGCAACAGTTGCAGTATTCTTGTGATGGAATGTAGTTGTGGGAGGAAGGGGCTCTTTTCCAGAGCGCAAAGAGAGAGTAGAGCTTTGCAATGCCTGGTATGCAGGAAGAGAGCAAAGACGGACCCCTCTCCAGCAGTTCACGGAGTATATTTACTGAACAGTTATGCAGATAATCGCTTGCGAGATTTCTGTCCATAAGCAAACAGCAATAAAGAAACTGCTCAGAATAACTCCACTTGTCATTCTTGGGACTTGACAGTAGTAGGGTTACACAATTGCCATTTGTAACCTTCCCAGGGGGCTTCCGACAAGCCAGCATGGGAGACTGGATTCCCTTAATGATTTGCTTTAATGATTGTTGCAAAAAAAGGTCATAAAATTGGGTGCAGTGCATGTAAAGACTGCATTGCTTGGCAATGCTTCCAACATTGGTAGTAAATCAAAGACCATCCAAGTAGGAGTGAAAAAAAAAAAATCTCACTGGAGTGCTGATCCTGGCTGGTCAGCCTTGAGGCACCAAATTACCTTAGATAAAAGGTTTGCCTTCTTCTGCCTCTCTATTACAATCCTGTCATTTGACTGTAAATACAGTGATATGCATCTGATAATGCATAAGTTTATAACTCGGTGTTTTCTACTGAAGGAAAATAGCCATCTTGTAATTATGCCTTTGTTTGGACTTGTCTTCCACTCTTACATACTTCCCATGAAATGAGATTGGCAGTCTGTGTTCGTATTATTGATAACAAAACCATGTGTATTCTACTCAAACAAAAAAAAAGTAACACAATCAAGGAAGCTCCATGAAATTTGTGTAGCAGAGAAGATAGAGTTCTGGACTTGGGTTCAAATTCCTGCTTTGCCTTGAATTGGTTCTTTTTTTTTTTTCTTTATTCCATCCAGGATGCCGTGATCCTGAAAACTCACAACCAACTCGTGCATTCAGCCAGTTTGGTTTTTAAGCCAGATTCTGTGGTTTTGCCTAGTACACAAAATGGTGTTCAATAAACCACAGTAAAACAATCTGTAACTTAACATAATTTTTAAACCCAGCCTCATTCTTCCATCCCAAAACCACAAGGGCTTGTGTAGACGCTGCTCAGTGATTTTCTTTTGGGGCACTATCATTTGGATACTCTTCAAAAGCCTTCAAAATATCTGGGAAATTCTCATTCTGTGAAAACACCCAGGATTTCTCTTTCAGTGAACGGTGATGGTTTGAAATGTTTCTTCATGATAATGCCACGACTGTTACAACCTGGAGAAGCAGAGCTTGTTGGAGCGTTAGTGCTGTCTAGTGGCCGATGCTTGCCTGCCTCTGTTTCACAGATTGTATAGGATTCCTGATTTTGGATTTTATAACAAGGAGATCAAAGCTGTTTTTCAATCGAATTTCTAGATACCAAGTTATGTTCATCTTATAATAAGAAATTACTCGCTCAAAAATGTAGTCAAATATTCCAGTTATCGTTGCAATACATCTTTGTGTTTTATCTTGTTAGTCATATAAATATGCAGGGCAGGGGTTTGTGGGATTGTGCTTTTGTTGTGGCAAAATACACATGCACACACACACACACACACACACACAAAGAACCACGCTAATTTGGCTGGTATCTCAATGGTATCTTTTTCTAATGCAATATAGTGTACAGTACCTGAACTGCAGTATGAAAAATGTTTGGCAGAGTAAAATTGGGTTTGGTTTGTATTTTTGTGTTTTTATTTGTGAACTATCCAGAATTAATTGGATTTGGGCAGTATCTAAATTGAATCAAAAAAATGAATTGGAGAGTATGCTTTTTCAAAAACTGACCCTTTGTATGATTTGCAAGTAATAGCACTCTAGAAAGTGGCTATGACTAGTAAAAAAAAAACTAAATAAAAACTTAACTCTCATGTTTCTAATAATTCTCTCCATTTATCATATTAAAAATTATAACTTTCAGGGTTCTGGGGTCACACCTAAAGTTTTGGGAACCTTAAATTGTGAACCTCTGTGTTGGGTTATATCAACTAAGCCAAAAGCTTGCAAAACTAAGTCCCTCAACAACCATTTTAAAAAGTGGGTTATTTTAAAAGTTACCTGATTAATTGGCAACACTTTTCTTTAAAAAGTGAAACATTTTAATTGCTCCAATTGAGTTACTACTGATGAGTGGTGTAAAGCTATTCATGTCAACTCAAAAATAAATCCCATTAATTTTAATGAAGTTTCTTCTAAGTAATTCAAGAGATTGTTTAGTTTGAAGGTGATAGGAAAAGGACATTTATGAAAAGTACTACTTTTGGTTAGAAATTGAAATTGATTAGTGTACTTTATGCATGTAGAGTTTACTTTTTATAGACCTTTCCTTTGGTTTTTGCATATGCAAAGAAGCATCTCAGTCGTAGAAGATCACAGGATCACCTTACAATATTAGCAGAAATTGCAAAATGCATAAACAGTATTGTAAAGGCAGATTCTTTTTGTTTCAATTATAATCAAAGACATAAGCAAGTTAATCTTCCTAACCTCTTTGTAGATAATACATTGCTCACCCAAGAAAATCCTTTGATGTTTACCAGATGCTTCTCAGTTTATTTGGTATCAAAATGCCCAGTTTTGCTTTTAATTTCTAATGGTACTGTCTGAAAGTGACCTCAGTAGAGAGAAGACTAAGATGATATTAGGGTACAGGTTCTCCGAAATTAGGATATGGTATTGTTCAAACCCTTTTAATATTGCCATGTAGATATGCCATTAAAAATATTTTTTTGGTCAGGGTGAAATAGTCATCCTTGCCTACTTATACAAAATGCAATGCCCACATGGTTTAGCCATAAGTATCACCTTCAATATTCCTTTTACTTATACAGAACAGAACAGCCCTATCAATACTTAAAACTCATTGAGAAAAAAATATATATGTTTAGGTACTCTCGGTTTCATTCTGTTCTGTCCCTTGTTCACAGGTACCAGTACTATCTTCAAGTAAAAAAAGATGTTATTGATGGACGATTGCGATCTTCATTTGAACAAGGGATAAGGTTGGCAGCACTGGGCGTTCAAGCCACATTGGCAGCTCAAGGTACAGGAGCACATGTGCCCATTCTTTCCCCATCTTATTTATTTATTTAACTATAGCAATACATTCCTATTAAACTGGAGATGGCAACCCCTTAGGGAAAACATTGACACTGATCTGCATTCTTAAAAGCTTAATACTGTATATTTTGGAAACATTAGTGGCATTAAGTGGCAATAATTCCTGAAATAAATGAATCATTCATTTGAATGAGCCATTTTCTCTTTTTACTGAAGTGGAAGTTTTTAGGATTCTTGCAAGAAACTGAGAATGAAGATCATAATTAAGATGTATTTTAGTTTGAGAATATCCTAGCATAGCATGCAAATAATTATTTTTCTACTAATGCCATAAGTCGGATACATCCAGATTTATTAGTGAACTGCACTAGAAAAAGGATAGTGGATCAGGGTTAGAAATAAATAGGATGGGGCTTGAATTCATGATTCATGTCTTTTTCCTCCACTGCAGCATTAGAAGGTGAGTTAAAAAGAAGACAAGTCATGTATCACTTTAGCTATGCTATCTTCTGTTCTGCTTCTACCATTTTTCATACATTTTGCATGTAATCAGTGGATTTCTGCAAATGTGTTTAAGCAATGGATTTTACAAATATACCAAGTTTCCTACCACGTTTATAAAGCTCAGGCTTGCAAACTCCCTTCACCCTTTTAGCACACTAGAGGAAGACTAATTAAAGTTACTCAGAAATCAAACTGAGAAAGCTATAGATTGTTTAAACTGTGGTTAAGAGGAATAAATTAAGAAAAGGGCAGTTTCTGCTTCTGGCTTCTTCTCACTAAAAGAATTTAAACTAATTCATTTCCTTTAAATATTGTGGGTTATTTTTTCAAAGTCATAAATGAATGTTTAGTATAAAATAGGAGAGGATGTTTGTATCTTTAAAATTAACTACAGCTTTATCACAGATGAAATCATTGTTCCATGTATCAATTAAATGAGGCATGTGTTTTCTCAAGTCATATTTGTAAAACCTTGATTATGGATTGAAATGAAATAAGTCTTTATTATCAGAGTGATATGAGCATTCATAAATCCATATACTCACATTTTTAATTTTATGCTATTGTTCTTGACTGATACACAGAGAATTCCTAAAAGCTTTTCTTTAGTACTCTATCATTTTTATTGTTTGTATACATATCACCTTAGTGTATTCAACAAGTTTATATTTATTGGTTATAAAAAGGTATATTTACGATGTGAAACAAAACGAAATACATGCAATAATAATGTCAAATTTCCCTTATGGGTCTACAGGAATATTTTGTTTGGAATAATTCATAAGGGGAATTTCCAGTATTGAAAATCTTTTTGGCAGACTTTACTCAAATAAAATAAAAAGAAAGCTCCTGGGCATTTTGCCCCTCTCTCTTAAGCATGAAACTGTTTAAAAAGAGATAAATGGAGAACCTTTCATAAAAATATTGTGCAAGAATATTTTTAAGAATAAGTACTTTAAGAAGTATTTTCACTCTTTTTCTCCAATTCTGAAACTTACACAAAGCAAAGGAAATCTTTGACAGGAATGTCATTCTATGTTGAATGTAAGTGAAATATAGGGTGAAATCCATTGGTCAATGGGAAGACTTCCACTAACATAGTCAAACTTTTATTTTTACCCATTTTTCACCAAAAACTTCTCTGGAACCATTGGAAACATTCAAATGTAAGCATATATCCTTCCTCAAGTATACAGTGGAAATTATTTCTGTTATTTTGGGATTATAACTGGATTTCAAACAGTTCTGTTCTACTTATGAAGAATACTCCAGCACTGTTAATATATAAAATAGGGAAAGGAAGGAATTCGAGTATGAATTTTTGTCCTCCCTCCATTTGAAAGATCTAAATCCCCTTCAAGAAAAAAAATGAATACAAGCCCCATAACTGTACTTTTTAGGTGAGACAAACAATTTTCTGCCTTCATAGTCAAGGATTTCAAACTAAATATTGAATAACCCTGCTTTTTCCAGGTTAAACCATTGAAGAACCTTTTAGGAAAGAGTTTCATATGCAGTAAAAGCTGAAGCAATTTGTTTTTTCAATTCCTCTTTCTTTCTTTTTCGCATCCAGTTGGCTTTGGAGACTACCCTCATTTTGAATCTCACGATCTCCGGCAGTATGTTTTGTTTCCTATGGTGAGTTAACTTCCCATCTTCCCACCATCCCCTCTTCATGTATTTATTTATTGAATTTGTATTCCACTGCAGTCAAAAGAAACGATTCTTCTGTGGGTAAATTGGCAATTCTCATGTATGGATTAAAAATACAGTCAAGTATCCACAGTAAAAATTGATTTGTTTAAAAAAAAANGCCGCGCCCTCAAGACATGGCTTTTTCAGCAAGCGGGCCTGACCTAGGGAGGATTTTAGGTAGGGATAATTTTAAAAGTATTTTAATCGGAAACACAGCTGGTAATATTTGGTTTTAATTCGGCTTTTATCGGGGTTTATTTTTTTTTTTTTTTTGTATTTTTGTATTTTGTATTTTCTGTATTTTGTGTATATTATTTGTTTTTAATATGCTGTGAACCGCCCTGAGTCCTATGGGAGAAGGGCGGTATACAAATTAAATAATAATAATAATAATAATAATAATAATTTCTGAAAGAAAGCTATTCTGGAATGTAGACACCCCCACAGAGAAGCCATGACTGTGACAGTCCTTCCCCAAACAGTTTTTTTCTGAGATACTTAAGTCAAGTGGGTCAAAAGTGGGTGGAAATGATAAGAATTCTAGTTCAAAGTCATCCCTTTTAATTTCAAGGATGGTTCCATAAACATTTATCCTTCTGGTGGTCCTACTTTCGTGATATGGTTTTAGTAATGCCTCCACCAAAAATTACTTGATATTTACTTTACATAGGTACTTTCATCTCTTTGATAAAAAGTTATGCTAATATAAAACATTTTTAAAAAGTTTTAAAAGTAACAAATTAAAATTATTGCTACACATAACAGAGTTTAGAAATCATATTAAACTTAAATGTGGTGCAAATGAAGGAATCTGAGTTTTCACATTGGAGGAGCCAGTGTAGTCCAGTGATGAACAGTGGTTGAAGACCAACGATATCTGTGTCAAGTTGTTGGGTGAGGTTAATAACCACTGGAGTGAGAAGGAGGAATTATGAATGCTTACTTGAGGTCCTGGAAGAAACCTGGATTATAAACTGAGAGTTAATGTGATATAGTGGTTAAGGTGCTGGATTAATATTGGGGAGATTCAGATTATAATCCACAGTTACTCAGTTTACTTGATGACTCTGAGCCTGCGTATTTTACAAAGCTTTTGTAGTAGGCATATGGAATGCCACCATGCGCTCTTAACATGTATAATAGCTTCCCGATTTGTGTCAAATCAGGAATATTAAGTTCGCCGTTCTCAGCTAACATGAACAATTTTCTTTCTTAAATGAATGACAATCAGAGAGTGGAAAAATTTAATTAATTTGAAATCTAATCCATTATAATTATCCCCTTACTTGAAAATGTCCCTGCATGTCTATGGATGTTAATATTTTTTTTTAACAAGCAATCATTATGGCAATAGGGACTTTTTTGTTGTTGTTTGTAGCAGCGGAAGCACAGAGTGTTTCCAAGATCATGCATGGCTGGAAATGGAAAGGCAATCCTCTTAGCTTTGAGTACTGCTTTGTCTTTGCCAAAATCATTCCTATTTCCATATAAATAATTTCAAAAGAAAAAGAATGCATAGCTGTATACTTTGCTATAAGCAATAATGTGTATTTAGCGATCAAGACAGAGTGAAAATGAGTTACTGTACATATAACCTGCATTAAAAAAAAACCTGTACATCTATATGGATATGGACTTTATTTCAATGTATTGTTGCTTTATCAAAAGTTAGCCCATTGTTTTTCTACAGTGAAACAAAATAAAAAACAGTACAAAAATACTTCCCATGCCTAGGCCTACAAAGTTGCCTGCCTTTTAGCAGCTTTCAGTAATTTCAAGTCAATCATTTACACCAATGATAATAAACAGCCTTTCTTTGAAATGTAGAACTCCCCATACAGAGCATCCTCTGTATGGGGAGTTCTACATTTCAAAGAAAGAAATGAAAAGTAAGGGTGGGTAAACATTCTTTTGAAAGGCATGTACCATTTTTTTTAAAGATACTTCTTATATAATTTATTGAAACCTCTACGGCCACCTCCAGAGAAGATCAGGAGAATATAGAGCATACTTTGTAAAATGGTTGTGATTTTGGTTTTTTTTTTTAAGTGATTTGTTTGTCATGCAGTGGATGGGTGCCTAGATCTGAATATTAGCCTTTAATGTGTCTCTATATTCTGAAACAGATAGTGGATGTAATCACTCTGTTGTATCCAGTATTTGAAGTAAATCTCTCATTGTCAGCAAACTCCTGTGTATCTTCTGAAGCTAAAACGATGCTGACAATCAATTAATCAAATAGCTAATCCAGTCTGCTCTAAGCAGTAGCTTTAGCTAGCCTTGTTCTTTAGAAACAACTGCCCACTGTAGTAAATTAAATATCTATAAGGACTATTTTAGCTAATTACTAGCAAGCCTGAGTGGGCACAGAGGGATTGAATATAGCTTGCATTGTATTTTGCACTTCTGTTTTGTTTTATCTTGTACTGCTTCAATATGTGTGAAACAACATTTCTTCAGCAATGAAAAGAACAAAGTTATGTACACAGAACAGCTCACAGGTGTGTAGTTATGTACAGGCACGTACAGTGCCATTTTTCATTTGCACTGTTTTACATTTTTCAGTGTCAGGAACAAATATTAAGGGGAAGCCCCAGTGAACAAGAAGCCAGGCATTTTGTTTTAAGTATAAATACACACCTGTGGGGCATTCCATTCACAGTAATTACTAAAAAGAAAGAAAAGAAAAAGAAGGAAGGAAGGAAGGAAGAAAAAAGAAAGAAGGAAGGAAGTATATTTCATTTGTATCATTCATTATACCCACTAATTTTACATACGGCACATGGAGACCATGCTTAAAGCTAAAAGTGTGGTTCTTGGTGATGATTATTATAGTTATGACACCCTAGGGCAGGCATATCAAACTGTCGGCCCGTGGGCCGGATGCATCATGGTGAAACCGCGCCCACCCTATCGCCGGCAATGGGGAAAAAGTCCCGATACGTCGTGCAACATCACATGATGTTGGGAGTTTGACATGCCTGCTCTAGGGGTATTAGGGATTATAGATATGACACCTTCCAAATAACATAGGTTGCAATACTTTTGGTCACATAATACTAAGCTGTCCTACATGGCCAGCAAGTAAAAAAAGAAATTAATCTTTCATGTTCTTTTTTTCGCCACCTTGAAAGTTCTAGTCATTTTTCACAATTAATAAGCTGTTATAATTTTTTGTGCTTTTTTGCTGTAGGATATATTTAGTTTTAGAAATAAATTATCACTATGCTCAGGAGGAATTTTTATAACCTAGCAAGTGAGAACAATTGCCAGGTTTTAGTCCTTCACCTCACCAAGTACAGCTGAGAAAGACCTTCAAAGCTCTGGAGATCTGCAAATTAGCATTCTGCAATCTACTATATTTTGGATGGCTAGAACTACATCTGCCAGGATTCCTAGTCATACTAGAGCATGCCAGGTTGTAGAAAACTGGTACAGAACTACTGAGTTAATTGGACCAATCATATGAGAAGACATAAAACAATTTCCTGTTTTCCCAGTAAAATGGTTAATGCCTTGGGATAGCAGTTGCTGGTTTGCCTTGCAACAAGCATGGCTTAAGAGGACTGGTTTTGCATTGATTTCCTTCTGCCTTTGTCTGATTTTCACACTTTAGGGCAATGTTTTTCAAACCTGGCAGTTTAAAATGCATGATTTCAACTCCCAGAACTCCCCATCCAGCATTCTGGTTGGTAAATTATGGGCATTGAAATCATACATTTTAAAGTTGCCAACTTTGAAAAACACTGCTTTAAAGCTTGTTTTGAGGTACAGATAGTATGTAGGTATTTGAAGTCGGATGACTTTCAAATGTATGGCTAAATTTAAAGTGTCTTACTTATTTGTGGGGTGGGATTTTCTGTTGGTATGCTTAAAATGTTTATCAGGAAAGATGAGTTTACCTTCAGGATTTTGTTCAAGGAAGAGCTTTTCTGCCCCTTGTACTGAAGTGATACAGTTTATGTTTGCTCAGTTTGTAGGCCTGTTTGAATTGTTTAATTTTCTTCCCATAACTTTTAGAATATTTGAATATTTTCTTCACACTTCTACCATTCCCAAATTGATCTTGACTTATTAGAATGTTTGATTTAATATAACTTTGTGTTAGAGTATGCAACTTTGAATTGTTTTGTTTCTTGGGAGCAAATGAAAGACAGCTACACAAACCAATAAGTGATTGCAGTAAAGTTTCCTTAAAACTTGAAGCACTTTGTTCCATCACAGAAATGAAGATACTGTAAACTTTATCTTCATAAACTTGGCATTTTTGAATAACCACTCCTATTCAACATACACAAAAGGCAGCTGGGCAAGATTATCTACTGGAACAAAGTTAATGCCAATATGCATTAGATACACAACTTTTCATCTCAACTCTAAGCTGAATAAATGATGCTGTGGAGATTTTGCTCTAGTACAT